TTCATAATCGATCGTAGGTTACAAATCGGCTGGAGAATATCGGGTTCACGATGCGTAAGGATTTATTACCAAAATACCCTGTGAACAATTGTTCATAAGCAGCCCAATTAATTTAATGATTAATTGATTATTTTTTAATACTCATTTAATAATGACCATTTGACCAATTTACCCTTTGAACAATTGTTCATACACATATCAATTAATACATTAATTAAATTATTGTTTATTTAATCTCATTTAATAATAACCGTTTGATGATAAAATGAACGATCAGGATCGGTTCACATAGTTTGTACCATATGATTAGTTTCTATTTGAACCAGCCCCTATATATATATATATATATATATATATATATATATATATATATATATATAGCTATTACTTAATTATTATTAATTTTACATTCATCTTGATGAATTCTTTCATCTATTTTTATGATTCTCAAGTTCTTTTTTCTTTTAAGTTCTCAGGAAATCTTTTCCACATATATATATATATATATATATATATATAGACACATACATAAACAAGATTATTGATTATGGTTAACACAAGAATATAATGACCATTAGTATGAGAGAAGATCAGAAGAATCCAAAACAAATTGCAAATATCAAGGACAAGGAGTAATTTGTAACGAAAGAAATTGAGGGAGGAGATCAAGAAAATCATCAAACTTGACGATTTTGTAGATAATTCAAAAAAAAAAGGATAAAAACTGCATCTTTAATTTGACTTTTATTTTTATTTATAGGATTATATCCTAAAACCATTTACTATTTATTAAAATAATAATAATATATACGCGGAAAAGAAGCCACTTTCGGAAGTCATGTGCCCCCTAAACAAGTCCTCTATTTTTTGCAGTGTTGACTACGGCATCATTACTATTATCATGCACACAATCTCTTCGACCTAAGATTTTGAACGTTCTTTGCAAGTTGTCAAAATAATGATGATAACTAAAGAGTAGTTTGTATTTTAGTAGACAGCCACCAAGAATGAAAATGTAGGACAGTTCGTTAACAAAATTATCCGATGTCGAATACAGATGGACCACGCATGCATAGATACTAATTTGGCGTCGATGCATCGTCGTCAATGATGATGCGTCATTATGGATTATATTTTGTTAATCACGGATGTTTGGTCTACCTCGATTAATCCCAAAAGAAACCCTAGAAAACAATAGAAAAAATATGATAAGAGAATATTGTTTTATGCACATATAATAAATAAAATATTTGAGATCGGTTTATTAAAAATAATATGTATTTTGTTTTAAAATGCTGTATTATATGTGTTATAGGGTCCTTACAGGTTGGGTTGGTCGGTTGAAGACACTTTAACAACCAGGACGGAACACAAATGGACAGACTCAACAATAGTGGAGACCCTAAAAGAATTTTATACTTAAAACCTTAATGGACTGGAGATGATTCACTCTATCTAAAAACAAACCATGGCCAAGTCCCCTAAAGGCCCTATGGCCATCCGGCCCCTGTTAACAACTCAATCCAATCGGTTTAAAAAATCTTAATCCAATCTGACCCAATTAAAAGTGCAACACAACCCAAATTGTATGGATCGGGTTGGGTTTGTTAGGTTGGTCGGGTTGAAACAAATACAAACAAAGCAACAGCAAACTCATGAGAAGTAGCAAAAGAAACAATTATACAATTTTGCAACTCTAAGTCATATAATTTTGCAACTCTAAAGTAGCGTAACTTTGTTATTGTGGCTAGGACACTTATCATACAAAACAACTAACTTTTATCGAAGGAAGAATATATCGGTATCCCGTTGCTACATCCGTTGGTGAAGTCCCTTGAAAAAAATGTCATGGGAAAAAGCATTACTGACGAGAACATATATGCCAAAGACTCAAGATTGAAATATTTTTTTTATGCGTTTATTGATTTGTATGTGATGTTTTTTACGATTGTACTATTGAAAAATTGAGAGGTTTTAATCGATAAATCTATTCAATGTTTTTTTTTTTGTATACACTGATTAAATATACTGATGTAATTTATTTAATTAAATAAATTTTGTCGACAATTTTACCTGGTATTTTTATTTAAAATTGAATAAATTTATTCAAGTTTTTTAATTTTTTGAAAATTGATCAAAATTATCAATGTAATTTATTTCATTAAATATTAAATTAAGGTCTTCCGGTAATCCCTTAGTAAATTTGTCAGTTTAAAATTTTAATTCTTTTGTATTTTTGATAGATTACCAACGAAAGTCAACGAATATAGGTGAAAGTCAATTTTTGATCATGCCGTTGGTGATCCGCCATAAATCCATCGGTGATTTTCGATGGAAAATTCTGTTGTTGTGGAAAATTCTGTCCAATTGTCGTTCGTCGGTGGAAGTCTGCTTTTTTAATGGTGTCTGTATGGATAAAGATTTAATAAAGACGTTTCTCACGTATAAAAGTATCAAAAAATAACAAAAATAAGATCTTATACAAATAAGTTGATTATCTCTCATAGTTGAATATTTGACATATAATTGATCCAAAAAAAAAATTGTATTATAAGCAAAAATAAACGATTATAATTAATTCGATTATAATTACAAGCAAGCAATTGATGATATTGTGCATGTTTTTCAAATGCCCTTTTTTCTTTTTTCAATGATAGTCTTATTTAATATTTATTTTAAAGTCTAACTATAAAGAAACTTGCAAATTATGCTTTATGTTACTACATTTTTTTGATGTTCATTTAATGACAAATTGTAACGTTGTCTTTTACAAATTGACTACCCATCTACAGTTTGGATTTCAGGGTCGTTTCATGGTCCCGGCAAAATTGTCTGTCGGGTAAAAACCTTTTGGTAATCTAATTTATAAAATTAACGGGATTTTATCAATAATTACTTTTAAAACATTCAAAACCCTATATTTCTTGCATTTTATAATACCAAACTGGCCATTTATCAGCTCAAATGGTTGAATCGTGTGAAACAAAACCTTTATGCATGGTTTAGCGGGTTTTTTTGAAAAAAAAAAAATTGTTTCTAGCACCGACGGAACTAGAAGCGCCCCTTCTTAGAGTACTTTGATTTTTACTGGGTTAATCGTGATTTCATTCCTTAAATCGGCCATAAGCATTCAAAATTTAAATAAGGCATATCGTATTACTAATATCGTGTTTAGTAATTAGGTCGAAACGCCTCGTATCACTAATATCGTGTATCGACATATCGTCTCATGCTATAAAAAAAAGCACCCAAATGGATGAAGAAATACAATATTTCAAATTATGAAATTAAACACTTCAATTTTATTCAATGAACAAACACATGTCATGAGACATACACAAGCATGGCTACAGTGTCCTTATTGAGAGAGACTTCTTTATTGATATCTTGCATCTTAAAATCAGATCCTGAAAATCAAAAAATAATCCAAAATTAGCTAAAAATTCAAGCAAATAATAATTCAAAGAAAAGGAAAACAAGGTTTTAAACGTAATTACTGGTTATATTGAATGTTAATTCTTCCGGCATCCGTATTAGCAATCACAGCAAATGCCTCTTGGGACAGATCAACTTGATTGCCCGCACAACCTGGACAAAGATCTACAACCGTAACATCAACACTTCTACCCGTGCATGGTTGTGGAACACCTCCATTGGTTGGACCGGTGCAAGTCACGCGATACCTATTCCCACATGCAGCTCTATTATTGAACAAACCACTATTTGCTGCTAGAATCATGACACCACGATCTTCGAAACCAAAACATGACGATGCTACAAAACACAAACAAAAACTCAAGTTAAGCTAAGTGAACGTAGATGAAATTGATTTAACCTAAATGACATTATACTTACGAACATAGGGAGGGGTGTAGAAAGTTGCTTGGCCATCAATGGCGTGAGCAACCGAGGTTAGACATGCAACCATGCCGATTAAGATAAAAGCTCTAGCCATCAAACCCATCTTTTTTGGGAAACCTTGGTATGTGAATTGTTATTGTTTACTTAATTTGGTGAGGAGAAGCACCAGAGGGCTTTCCTTTTATAGCTGAAAAAAATACCTAACTTGAAGGCTTAATTATATGATGAAATCATATGCAAGAATTTTCTTGAATGTATTCAACAAAATACAAATCATTACGAAGTCAAAGGAAGCGGATAACGATGTAATATTAGATCGGTTTCTCGAGTTCTACATCACCGGTGATATATTGCTCTAATTTTATAAATGTCATTTGAAATATGTGGTAATTAGTTTGTAGGATTTTCATCATCATCACAATAAAATCGGGTTTATAGGACACTTCCAAATTCTAAATGTCTTAATAGACCTCTTTATAGGATTTAGTTTATAGGACCAAAAAATAAAGTGTCTTATCTAAAGGTGTTGTAATAAGTTTATATGACGTTTTTTGACGTCGTAATAAGTTTTTTAGGACACTTTTATTATAAATTGTCTCATTATCAACTTTATAGGACACTATTTGAAAATTTGTCCTATAAAAACAAATGTCGTATAAAAAATTGAGTTTATAGGACACTTTCTCAAAAGTGTCCTATAAAGTTGCTAATGCGACACTTTGTATTAAAAATGTCTTAAAAACTTGTTAAGACGCCCAAAAGTGTCATATAAACTTATTACAACATATTTAGATAGGCCACTTTATATTTTGGTCTTATAAATTAAGTTTTATAAAACGGTCTATTGAAACGCTTATTGATTAAGGATGTCCTATAAACTCAATTTCGTTGTAGTGTGAATTCTTCGTTTTAATGTCTTCTAGAACAAATAAAACATATGTTATACCTTTTTGTATTTAAAATTATGAATAAAACTATCCAATATATGAACCTACTATATATGTATGGCTTATTAACACTTATTTTATCTCAAAACAATCCAGTTTGTCAATTATTTCTGAGTTTTGACGTTTGACCATGAAACAGCAAGGGGTCCAAGTTATTTACTAAAAGTTAAAATATCTCCAAATGCTAGAGTCAGTAATTTGACCGGTGACCAAGAATTGTTACCATTCAATTTATTTGGCTTAGTCTTGTTTGACAGTGTTTGACAGTTGTTGAATGGTTTGATATAAAATGATTAAGAAGCTCTCATGATATAGTACAAATTGAAATATAACTGTTTGGTAATTATTTACAATGAAATTAGAACGCTGAATGGTTAAGAGAGGCTCAGGATACAAAATTATTCAGATGGTTTTTAGAATCATTAAAAATAGATTTTTTTTTGTCAAATAAAATTCATTTCTTAAAAATTCAGAGGTTGCCTCTTAATGGACTATTAAGAGGTAAACAAACAACCCTTAATAAATTAAGATAATTTTTCGTGATGTAATGATTGATTGTATGCCGGAAGGAACTCGAATCATAATCTCTACGTATGCCAAATGATAAAAAGAGTCACAAGCAATTCTTATTTGAAACTTTATTTAGTTATTGTTTGATAAATTATAAATCAATGAGATAAAAGATTTCATCAAATCAATTTTCAAATGGAATTTCTTGCACAAACGACGATTGAATTGGTCCAAAGAAAATGTGTGATGAGCAAAAAGTCATTGGAATTAATTCAATTATAATTGCAATTAACAACCAATAGATAACGTATATTAATTAGGATCAACAGATTTCCTACTCAATTTCAAAGGATTTTAATAGTGTGCATGTTTTTCAAATGTTTCATCTTTTTTCTATGATCTTCTGTCTATTATCAATATAAAGGGAAACAACACACGTTTATAACGACTTTGTGTCTCAACTTCATCACGATTTGATTCAAAACAAAATTAAACCAAACTTACACAATATTTCCCATTGAAAAATGTGTGGAGACAGATGAAATATGTGCACCGACTTTAATTCTATTTCATAAGGCAGAGAGCTTGTTTCGGTAAAAAGTCTTGATTTATTAATCTTAAATACTAGGAAATATTAATTTACGAAAGGTGTTGATAAATTTCAAATAACAATAAATTTTTCATACGTAAAAGAACATATTCATAGGGTGGATGCTTGCCTAACTTTTGCTATGGGGAACGTATTAATCTAGGTCGCGGTTGAAAAGAGGCTTCACCGACAATCAAAATCCAATGGTAAATTGTCAGAAAAAGCCGGAGAAAGTGTGATCAATGATCAAGATCATCGGCGGATTTTCAATCACCGACAAAAAAATCTATAGGTAATTCGTCGGTGATCCGTTTAAAATTACCGACAGAAAAACCTGTACAAATTACAACAGAAAAATCCATTGAAAAAATCTATCGATAAAACCTCTTTATTTTGTAGTGTCATGATCGTTTTAGATTTATAAGGATAAAAAATTAACCTTTGATATGACGTGTATTTTTACTTATAGGATATATCATACAACCATTGACTATTATTCCAACATTAATTTATAATACGAGGAAAACTAGAAGCCACGCACTTGCGGAAGTCGGATGGCCCTTAACGTCTTTTTTTACGGTGTTGACTACGACATCGTTATCATGCACATTTTTTCATCGTGGAAAAAGTTTGAACTTTCTATTCAAAATAATGACCATGACAAGGAAGGTTTTACTTTTCTTACGAAATAATAATGGGGTGTTTGAGATTACTTATTTGAAACAATTTATTTTTATTAGCGGTCTAACATCGGTATAAGTTGTTTATCCAAACACTCAAAAGTGCTTATTACATGTGTCATACCGGAATAAGTCAATAAGTTGTGTTTTTATAAGCAATCACTAACACCCCATAAGAGGATCTTCAAGAGCTTCTACGAATATGGAAAATGAGGATTTTGAGTTAATATTTTACTCCAATAAATTTCATTCAACTATCTTTAAAATAGATGATCATGCGAAAACTAAATTAATTCGCAAGAATGCAAAAAAGAAATATGGCTCACATACCTTACTCAATAAATGTATTAAATAAAATATTATTAAATTGAATTTAAAAAGGTAGCATTCTCTGTAACCATGGTGATAATCCCTAACAAATCAGGATTGAATTTGTCTTCCAAACTAATTTATGATAATCCTTAATAAACTGATTTCATCACTAGTATAAATACGTAACGGCTTGATCATAAGTATTGATCATATATGATAACTTGTTTGATGATCGTATCAATCATATATATATATATATATATATATATGATAATTGTAGATATTTTTGTTGTCATATGTGATTATGTAAATTAATATTTCTAATTTTTTTGTGATGCAAATATTATCATATGTGATTATACATTACTCATATTCAAATGTATATTATCACATGATATAATACGTAACTTATATTCACACGTATATTATAATATGTGATGTGTATAAAAATTCACAAAGTGGATCATATATGATACATAATAGATCATATGTTAAACGAAACTAATCACATGTGATTCAAAACATGGATCCAAAATATAGAGAAAAAATAATGAAAAATATAATGAATTGATTGTGGATGTTACATATGATATTTAAAGAAGATTGTGAATTTTCTTTATCAAAAGTGTCTCTAGAAAAAAAAATTATATGAAATTTGATAAAAAATTATGAATTAACTAGACTTAAAAAGAAATAAACCTAAGATATATAATGAAATTTTTAAGGGATTTAAATGATGTTTTTGTCACAATTATATCCTAAACAAAATATTTGATCATATCAATATGATATTCATCATGAATATATATTTTCACTATAACATTCATCATAAATATTTATGTATGATCACATATATACAACAACTCTTTACTATTTATATTAGCATGATATTTATTATAAATATTAATTTTCACCATATTATTCATGTAATAACCGGATCCTGGTTATTACCCAAGGTAATAAATATGTGATTATTTGATTAAACAATTACGTGATATCATGATAATTTGATACATGCTGGTATGTGAATTTGTGCATTAATTGGATATATATATATATATGTATGTACATGCATGTTAAGTTATGCATGGAGTACGTATGTATGTTTGTGTGTGCATGTGTGCATGGGTGGGTTAAAGCATGAGGTGGAAAGGGAAGGAGGCTGTTTAGCCGACCTTCCATATTTGGAAGGTATAAAAAGGGGCTTAGCCTCTTCATTTCTTCTTCCTGCTATTTTGAGAAAAAATGGGAGAGATTTAAAGAGAATTGTCCGGATTTGCAAAAAAGGGTGATTTCAAGTTGATTTCAAGCGTTTTGGTTTCAAAAGCTTATTAAGGTGAGTGGTTTCTAAACTTTTGCATAATATTTATACTGGTTTTTAGTTGAATGTTGTTTATTATTTAGATTGAAACCATACCTTATGTTTAAAGTTTTATCCGGACAAAGAGTGATCGGATAAGTGTTAAACCGGACAAGCTTTGAGCGGTGTACTGTCCGGATATTATTAAACCGGTCAAAGGCTGTGTGAAGTGTTGTTCGGACTTGTATCCGGACAAGTTGTTGAGTTTATTCTAAGTTTTAAATCGATGAAATGGTGAGCGGTTTATTTAAATCGGTTAAGTCTTGAGTGGATTGTTGTCCGGACTTGATATCCGGATAAAGATGATTTTGCTTCTAAGTGTTAAACCGACCAAAGCTTATGCGGTATATTGTCCGGACTTGATATCCGGACAAGATTAGAAATTATTTTCTAAGTATTTAAATCGGACAATGCTTGTTCGATGTGTTGACCGGATTATTGACCAGATTCGAGATGTACCTTGTGTTTTGATATAAATGATTTTTGGACAGATAATAATTCCAATGGYTGCGGTCTTTTTGGAATTATTTTTATAAAATGTTTTGTTGAAGAAATAAGGGTGGCATATCAAGGAGAGGTGTAAATTTGATATAAGGGTGGCATATCAAGGAGAGGTGTAAATTTGATATAAGGGTGGCATATCAAGGAGAGGTGTACCATGGGATAAGGGTGGCATATCAAGGAGAGGTGTACCTTTGGATATAAGGGTGGCATTTGTATGTGTGTTATATGAGATAACTCATTCTATTATATCCT